CCCCAAAACCCCAAAACCCCAAAACCCCAAAACCCCAAAACCCCAAAACCCCAACTCAATGACAAATGTTGGCCCAGTTTTTGCATAATTAAAATAATAAACAGAAATGGGTAATAGCACTTTTTGCAGCAAATTCATCGGCTGAGGAGGCGGAGAAAACCACTATGACACTATTAAACTTAACAAGCTTAAATTGGTAGGAGTCGGGGCCTTTGGCAGAGTCTGGGCAGTACAGTTACTAGAGTATAAAAGTGAAGAGAAATTCATCTCAGATGCAGGAAATGAAGAGAGGGTGTATGCTCTCAAGGAGCTTAGTAAACCTATTATCATTGTTAAGGAGGCTGTAACTGTAGCGAATAATGAGGTCAGAATACTTCAAGATATACCCAACTAGCAAGTTTATTGTCAATATTTGGTACTCTTTTCAAGATGAACAGAATGCTTATGTCCTTATGGATTACGCTCCTTGTGGAGACCTCCTGTTTCATATGAAGAGAATCAAGAGAAAGCAAATCCTTAAAGATGAGAAAGGAGGAACTCTTAGTGAGCACCAGGGCAAGTTTATGACAATGTGTATCCTTGAAGCACTTAGAACCATTCATGGCGCAGGGATTATTCATAGAGACATCAAACCTGAGAATATTATTATTGATTCAAATGGCTACCCAAGGCTTGCTGATTTTGGGATAGCAGAATTTGATGCTAACATTACGCCTGGGAGTCAATTTGGCACCTTAAGCTACATGGCACCAGAGATAATCTTTGATCATAAGTATTCTTACACAGTTGATTTTTATTCCTTAGGAGTTTTACTACTGCTGATGGTCACAGGAGATATGTTGAGTGTCGGTAAGACTCCAAAAGAGGCAAAGAATGCAATTTCCCTCAGAAATGATTCGATAACTACTAAAAAGTTCACGAAAAGATATCCCTATCTCTCTGAAGAATGATGAGATTTGATTGTCAGTCTTCTCTGCACAAGCCAACACAAAAGAATAGGTGTAGTTGGAGGTGTAGATGAGATCCTTAGTCATGAGTGGTTTGAGGGCATTGAAATCTCAACCATCCAGCAACAGACCTTTATCTCTCCAATCTATGAGATTTGCACAGACCAAAAAGCCATATTAGAGCTGACTTCAAATGACTTTAATAAAGGGGAGTCCACTAGTTTCTGGAAAAAATAAAGAGAATAAAGCGATGAAGTTGATATCAAAAAGTTTAGTTGACTATGGCAACAACTATCAAACGCACTTCACTGCATTCGACTACCTCAATGTTGTGTTCGAAGATGAAGATAATCCATTTGATAAGACAGAAAGAGTCAGGAGACATACAATGTCATCAATTTCTAAGCAAAGAAATGCTTCCCTCTCTGACATCATAGAGAGGGATAAATTGAGATTAGAACTCAGTAGTAATTTTAATGATGACCAAAAATCACCAATGGCTTTACAAAGAATCAGCGAGCCTAAAAGCGAACAGGGAGGTAAAACAGTATCTCCTGCCAATGATCAAAAGAAAGTCATCGAAGACCTTCAGCTTAGCCCTGAGGTAAAAGTTGACATGAGCAAATCTCCAGAATAATCATTTTAGTTTATTTCAGTACATTAATTTAGTTCTGGGGTTTTGGGGTTTTGGGGTTTTGGGGTTTTGGGG